AGTTGTCAAACAAAATACATAAATTTCTGGAGAAAAAATATAACTGAAAAAACAAAGCTGAGAACTTATGAAAAATTCAAAGACTCTTATAATTTTGAAAAATACTTAGATGTGCTAAATTTGAAACAAAGAATTTCAATGACAAAATTTTGAACTACCGGTAGTAATCACATTTTAGCAATAGAAAAAGGGAGACATATGCAACCAAAAATACCTACTGAAAATAGAATTTGCAAACAATGTTCACAGAATGAAATAGAAGACGAACTGCACTTTGTTATGAAATGTCCACAATATAAAGTAATACGCCAACAAATCATACAAGACATTATATTTCCACAAGAAACCCACGATGATCTCCAGAAATTTAATTTCTTGATGACTTCAAAAGATGATGTAATAATAAAAAAGATTGGCAACTATATTCATAATGCATTTCAATCAAGAAATAAAAATGCCATTTGATATGTAACACTTGCTTTATCTTTTTTTTTTTTTTTTTTAACAACTAACTTTCTTTTTGTAGTAGTAGTTATCACAACTAATCTTTATTGCTATTAACTGATAGAAACATTGTATTTCTAAGGATGCAATAAAGTTATTATTATTATTTGCATAAAAACAAAGGTACCTGTTTGGATTTAGAAGAAAAATGTGTGACTCGACCAACATTAGGTCAAAATTTCCAAATGTCATAGAACTGAAAATGACCCTGGCTGGGTGTTTTTTAACAGGGAGTCACAATACGTTTTATGGATGTAGATCTTACAAATGCTATCAATTAACAGACCATGAACATTTTTGGCTTCAGTTTACAGTTATATATTCAATGCTTATCACAGACACAGGGCTTGTAATGTGGCATCGGACATAAAAATGTACATTGTATGTTAAATCGGAGAATTTTGGGTTTCCATATGGTTGGATATTGACAAGCTCTGTGTATCAAATTTACATTTTTAGTCCCCGTTCGGACGCAGTCTGAAAACGGGGACTTATGTTTGACCTCCGTGTGTGCATGCATGCGTGCATGCGTCTGGACCTGTATCTTAGAAATGCCTGGACCAATCACAATCAAACTTCACACATACATCATACATGATATTTTACATATGCACGTCAATTTGTTTCACGATCTAATTCAAGATGGCTGAATGGCGGCCATTTTTGTGCTAAAAATCAAGCATTTCCCGGCTGTTTACAGATGGATTTTGTTCAAACTGGGTATAGACATTATGGGACCTTGATGCAAATAATTTTGTTTTTCAGATAAGATTCAAAATGGCCGACTGGTGGCCATTTTGTTTTAATGAATGTGGTTCTCGTGCCATATCTCTGACTTGCTTTCACTGATTATGTTGAAATTTGGCCGAATGGTGGCCATTTTTGTGCTAAAAAAATCATCAAATATCAAGCATTTCTGGATGGATTTCAATCAAACTTGTTGGCCATTTTGTTTTAATGACCCATATCTCCGACTTGTTTTGACTGTTTATGTTCAAATTTTAAATATTCATTATACATCATGTCATAGATAAACAGATATATTGGTTTGGTGATTCTATTCAAAATGGCTGAATGGTGGTCATTTTTGTGCTAAAAAATCATCAAATATCAAGCATTTATGGATGGATTTCGTTCAAACTTGGTACATATACTAATTAGACATTACAGTTTCCTGATGCACATCATTGACTCCCGTGTGCGAAGCACAAAAAGGGAGTCTTTGCAGTTAGTGTGTCTGTATGTGTCTGTGTGTCCGTCTGTTCCACTGATATCTCAAGAACCATACATCAGTTTTTGATGAAACTTGGTGCATAGATGCTCTGGGCCAATGCGGAGATTTGATCAGGTTTTGGTAAAAATCCATGCATATTAATTACCTAATTTGCATGATAATTAGCTGATTTTTAGCTGTTCCATGGCTGTTCCACTGATATCTAAAGAACCACTTATTGGATTTTGATGAAACTTGGCACACAGATGCTCCAAACTAATGCGCAGATTTGATTAGTTTTGGGTAAAAATCTGTGCAATATTAATTACCTAATTTGCATAATGATTAATCAATTTTCGACTTTTCC